AGTGAACAGATAATTGCGGTCGAGGGGGAAAGAAATACCACAATTTTTTTTTTTTTTTTCGCATTTTAATTGTTAAAAATCCCTTTTTAGAGCTGGGATCCCTGTTTTTAGTGGATTTAAAAGGCTTTCCCCGACCCGGCACGTGGCTGTGTYTGGCATGTCTAGTCAAGTGCATTGGTTGTTACAATTACACTGTGCAGACAAGGTGGCTAGATCTATAGTTCTGGTAATCTCTGAGAAATAAACACACAACAAATCTACACACAAACAGCCAGAAATGAGTTTTTTTTTTACAGTTCTGTTTGTCTTGTTTCAGTTTGTCACGTTCTTGCCGTTTTCTTGGGGATGAAGGTGTTTGTTCACAGAGACCTTTTGTGTGTATTTTTCTTTAATTGTAGCCAAGTTAATGTTGGTTTTTTGTTTGTTTTTGTTGAAGTTTATCTTTGTTTTTTCTAGCATGTCAGTCACGTTGCTTGTCGAGCAGAATGTATTCCACTAACAAAGCCCCCCGACTGACACCCGCTCACTGTTGGTTACAAAACATCAAGAGCATAAAAGCAGTCACGTTTTAATTTTTCTCAACAATTTAAGCCCTGTCTCTGTCGATTTTTTTTTTATATAATTTTTTTATCACGAAGGCTTGAAATGGTGAGGTCTGACACTTCAGACGGGCGAACCCCACCTTTGCAGACTGCCGCCGCCGCACACAGCACCAGACTAAACTCATTGGTTCACACGTGTTAGGAACCCACAGACGAAAATACATTTTTTAAGATTAAATTGTAAATATTGACAGTATAAAGTCACAATTTTACTGACGGAAAATCCCTCCCCCACTTTATTTTTTTTTTCATACAAAATTATTGAAAAAAATAAATGTTATTAAAAAATAAAAGGTTATGTTGGGGGTTATTATTATTTTATTTTTAAGATTTAAACCAGAGGAAGTGAAGCCCACTGTTTGTTTTTAATATTGTATCTGAGGGTTATGGGGGCACCTTCACTGCTACATACTGAAGCAGTCTGAACTTTCTTCAGCTTTTCACAATAAAAGTCTTAAACACAACACTAAACATTTGAAGTTTATGAAAGTATCTAACAAGTAAAAAGCTGGAAACATCAGAAACTTTGAGAGCATTTATAGTTAATGTACAAGTGACTCCTTCCAACTTGAATACAATAATATAATAATAAATAGGAGAAGTGAGGTTAGATTTTTATTTTATTTTTTTTTTTACATTTTCTGTTAATGAAATTGTGATTTTATTTTCTGTCAGTAATATTTTCACTTTAATCTCAAAACTTAAAAAAAAATCCTCATTTTTTGTGGGGYTTATTTTAATTCCTCCCTTTCTTTGCGTATGTACACAACAATTCTCCAGTGTGTTTAAAAAAATAAAATCCCTTCCAGAGATGAGGCCACGACCCGGATGTTCAGCCGAGCTCTCGTTGATCCAGATGCTAGCCTGACAGCACCTCAGTCAGCAACATATTACCTCTACGCTCCTCACATTCACTCATCATGTTTGTTTAGATTTATTTTATTTCTTACTGGACATAAATAGACATAATTGCTATTTTTTCATTGTATAGATTCATAGTTTTAAGCCTTTTATTTTCTTGTTTTTTTAATTAAAACCCAACTGTAGCTGTTTTCTTTGTTCTTTTGTTTAGAATGACTAATAAGAAGCATGGAGAACTACTCTTTAAARGGTGAAAATTAACCTATTTATTATCTTTTTTTTTTGTCCTGACACCTGTGGTATTACTATTTTTTTTAAGTTGAAGTTTGTCTCCGCTGTGTAAATTTTCCTCCTTGTAATGCGTGAAAGAGACATAGTGTACATATTTCTGTAAATAAAACCTCCCAGGACGTTTTGCACCCTCCTCTTTGTACTAGTCTGAAAAATTGCGTAGAATGTGGGGTTCTAACAGCGGCGGGCCGAGTCGCGCTCGCTGCAGGTGATTACATGATGTACCAATGTAACATTTTTTTTGTACAATGTAGTTTATTTGTGTACATATTGTTGGAGCAGCTACAAAATAAAAATGGGGTGGGAGGGTGGGATTCAAGGGGGTTTTCAATGCTATTGTCAATACTTTCACCTCCAGCTGTTGTTCATTTCCTGCAGGGGGGAAAATGTAAAGGAAAAAAACTTTAAAAAAATGAGAGAACATGAGTGTTTTTTTTTTTTTTTTTTTTTGGGAGGGGGAGGGGCTAAAACTGAAAAGCAAAACTTCTAAATTGTTATTTTCTACCGTTGCATGTACAGAGAGCGCGAGAACTGCTGTTGTTCCTCAGAGATTATGTTCGTTAATAAAATTTTGAAATATTACCTGCCCGTCTTCAGTTCTTCATTCTTAAGTTTTGCTTGTCTGACTGTTAGCAAAATATCTCGTGAACCACTGGACAAACTCAGAAAGCTGCCAAGATGGCTGCCACAGTGACTCTTCCGGTTTACATATATTGAAATTAAATTTGATGGTAGTAGCTGAGAGTCATTCATCTTAAGCCCCAAGTGGGTTTTCTTCGGGTTTTTGCTCAAAATACCATGTTGAAATGTAACTGAGTGTATCTCAGCATTTACAGACTCTACTTAAATAATCTTGGTATCAAAATAAAGCTAACGGGAGATTTCATCAGAAGTGTAAATATTAAAACAYCTGCTGTGGTTTTAGATATACAGAGGATGGAACATATTTTTCCCCTCCCATCTGAATAATTTTTGCATTAGACAGTATATAACTCATTTAAAACTATAATGATTCAGGCTAAAAACACTTGGAAAACATAAAATCACTTGTGGACATTACCTGTGTAAGGATTCATGCTGCTAAAATTAACTGGAGCAAAGTTTCAGAGGTTTTAGTAAAATTATTTAGCATTTTGCCATTCTGCACAGGATGGACCATATAGGTAATAAACGTTAGTAAATGTTAATTTTTTGACAAAATTATTTTTTTCTTACCTGACTGAAAAGACTTATTAAATGTTTGTTCTTTCGAAAAATTATCCAAACATTTATTTTGTTACCACATTGTATGAAATAATGATAAATTATAATAACTCAAAATCAAGTAAAAAAAAAAACTCATCACACTTTATTGCATATTTTCTTATCTGCTTTGACTTGCTTTAAAAACAAATGACTTTTTTTTACAGATTTGCTTGAATGTATTTACAGATTTGCAACAATCCCATTATGTACAGTTTGTTGACTTTCTGATTCGACTGCCTGTCATTTAAACTGTTTTAGTTGGATGTAAATATAGTTAATTCTTTCTATTGATACCAAACATGTCCAGGTTCAACTGARGGATCTTAAGTTAACAGAAGTTAAAAGAAATAGAAAACAGGGAAAGCTGTTTTGCATGGGGCTCAAGACCACATAGACTGAGTGTTACACCTCATGAGATATCTTCTCAGTTTGACTGAAATGTTTACAGTTTGATCGTTTCTCAGTATGAAACCAGCATGAAAGTTGGAGGGCCATAAGCATTCCTTAAAAAAAAGCTAGGCCTTGAATTTTTTTATTATTTTTAATTTGGGCAGAAATGGTCTGAGAAAAAATAAATACTTTGTTAAAGAAGCTTAATTTAAAGAGACCCCTTAAAGATGAATATTTTCATAATTTCTAAATTGAAAACATTTTGCTAAAATTCTTTTTTTGTTGTTCTTTTTTGGTTTAGTTTCACTGCAGTCAAACTATGTCATAATACCTGTTCTGCGTCACTCACCTGTGTGTGTCTGTGTGACTGGCAGCACCCGTGTCATTTTTCAGAAATAGGTGCAGCAAACATGAGTCAGCTGCTTAAAGAGATTTATGTGTTTCTAAATATAAAAAAACCACAGATCCCAGCAGGACAGCTGCAACAAATCCATGCCAGCAGGATGAAATGTAGAGGGAATTTTTCACATTCTTGGTTGGGAAGAGGGGTTTCTGCTGCTTTCTGTTTGGTTTTGTCAAAATAAAAGTAAATTRAAGCACTTTAATTATTCAGTTACAYTGTTGACATTTTCAGATTTMATTAACTTACTAGAGAAGATTTATTTCAAACATGAGAAAAAAGTGCCAGGGTTTTAGTCATTTCTCATGTTTAGGACCTTGTGATGTAATTTATTTTATTAAGATTTAACTATACTTTAAAGTAGGATTCTATTGGTTATGAAGAGTTACTGTCTTACCTGTTGTAGATAGCTCTTTTTGAAGCTCAGTTTGAAGTCTTTCTTGTTAGACTGAGGTTCCAACAACTTTTAATCAAAAACAAGCACTCCTTGAAAGAAATGCATATCACCTGCTGCTTCTGATGTCTGAGTTTTAAACTAAAATCATCTTTTAAAACCTTGCAAACAGTGATATGAACATGTGATCTCATTAAAGAATGTAGACATTGTGTTCATCCATGTTGATGAGCTGTGGTGACCATCTTAAGTGTGGCTGTCTTCAAAAGTCAATCAGTTGTAGWTGTGAATCCAATATTTCTTTCCTGCYAGRTTCATTAAGATCTYTCTTATGGTTCATGTGAWATTTTGCTAACAAACYTGGTTGGCGRTGATGGTTAAGGCCAAAGTTTAAAGCAAAAAATAAATTAATAAATAAACACACGTGAAGTATGTGAAGCAAATTAGTCTAAATTACTAACTTACCWAATTTTAGCACAATATATGTAAAATTGTCTGACTTGTAGCAATTTTTATGATTAAAAAAACTGTTGGCTCTGTCGGCCATCTTGAATTGGATTAGCTCCAGACAATAAACAGTTGTAGATGTACATCCACTGATTGGTGTCTGGAAGTTTCATTAAAATCTATCAAGTGGTTCTTGAAATATTTTGCTAACAGACAGGTAGAGTTGACTTTGAACAGTTGATAAAACAAAGAAAGCTCCTGTGCAATCTGCCAGTCCTCAGGATATGRGTTGGGGATCAGTCTCAGCTACCGCCACAKCRAATTTCAGCTCAATWTCTGCAAAATCAGCTGAGCTGTTGACATTTTTGTAACGTGAGTCATGTAGCAGGTGTGTCAGGGGATCCTCGTGCTCTGACACTCAGACCCCGCCCCCCTCCGGGCTCGTGCCTCTACCTGCTTTGGYGCGCCGCGCGCAGCTCGGTCAGAGTTCCAACATGTCCTCGGCTGTGTCCGCGGCCAACCTCCGTCTCCTCACCGACTATGAGACCAGGATCCTGCCTCTCGCCGGCGGCTACGGCCGCTACAACCGGGCGGCGGTGGCGTTCAGCTGGTTCCCCGCCTTCGCCGTGACGCTGAACCTCTTCAGCGACGTTTTCTACACCCTGATCCCGGACGCGTACCACTGCAAGCCGGACCCGACGCTCCTGCCCCCGGCGCTCCTCCCGAGCAACTTGTCCCGGCAGGACTACCTGAGCCTGACCATCCCCTGGGTGAACGGCTCCGGCCTCAGCCACTGCCAGCTCTTCAAGTACCCGGCCAACGCGACGGACCTGTCCGGGAGAAGTCCCCGGGAGACGGTGTCCTGCACCCGGGGCTGGGAGTACTCCTGTGAGGTGGGGCTCCACAGCAACTTTGTCACCGAGGTAAGGASAGTCCAGCAGGGAAATAACGGACAGAAGCAGAGCTGTAAAGTAACCAAGTACAAATACTTTGTTACTGTACTTAAGTAGGATTTTTGGGTATCTGTACTTTACTTGAGTAATTATATTTCAGTGTATGGAGTTCCATTTCTGCCAAAAACATGTTGTTGAGTCTTAAACTTTGTGTTGACACAGAGCGTCGTTTTTTTCTGTCTATTCTTACATTTTAACACAATTATCTACCTTCTACTCCTTACATTTAAAAAAGGCAAGAAATAGCAAGTTGTTACTTTTATTTCATTTTTGCTTGTTTTCATTCCAGCTTGTTATTGTAAAAAATAAATACTATCCATATATATTGTGCCTCCTAGAGAAAATTTAATTTTAACTGAATGAGAAGTATCAAATTATGATACCGTATTAGTTTGTACACAAACAAACCATGTCACACTCCAGCAGGACATAATCATTAAAATAAAAAGGACTAGAGTTAAAAAGTATTTATATTTCATGAATTATATGATTTCATTTGGCGCAGCCCTCAGATAGATTTTTATCTATCTAGAATCCTAAATTTAACATAAATTATTTATTTTAATACAACAGTCATTTCTGCATTGTTTTGGGG